TTCATTGATTTGCAATCCTAGTTAGTTTTTTTTTCCCTTATTTTCAAATGTTAGTCAGAACTGTCTATTTTGAGAAACAGAAACCAATTCTTTAGTTGACCTATTATATTGAAAGAAATTTATACCTAATAACACATTTAAGGGAGTTCTGGTGGCTTACTCTATTGGGAGTTATATAGCCAATCCAAAGGCCACTCCTCTCCAGCATTTCAAATCCACTAGTAGCTTCATGGAAGAAATATGGACAAATTTATGCTTGTGATTCACAGGCTTAGAAACCCAATACAGATTCAACTATGAATTGGTTCCAACTTGACAGCATATGAGATAATTATGTTTAACAAGTATTGAGAACTTAATATGTTCTAGGCACTATGTTAAGTGTTTTCTTTACATTATATAATTTAACCCTTGTTGTTTTTATGTGCCATTGAGTCGCTTGCAACTCATGATGGCCCTATGTACAGCAACTCTGAACCTTGCTCTATCTTGAGCGAACCTCATTACTTCTGACACACTTAACCCCCATTACGCCAGTTACTGAGTAAATCCATCTCATCCAGGGTCTTCCTCTTTTGTGCAGTCCCTCCACTCTTCCTTGCATGATATCCCTCTCAAAGGACTGGTCCTTCCTGGCAACATGCATGTCAGAAAAAGCTCAAAAAATCCTTGCCTCAAAGGAGCCACTGTTGATAACACTGTAAATGATGAGAAGATAAAAATTATGCCAATTTTGTTTATGATTACGTAAAGACATAGTATAGTTTTAAAGTTAATATAGTTTTAAAGACCCAAAAACCTCACTGCCTTTGAGTGGGAACTCACTCATAACTAGTCCTCCAGGGGTTTTCAGAGGCTGTAAATCACATGTGAGGAGATTGCCTCTTTTCCTCTGAGGAGCTGCCAGTTCAGACTGCCAGAGCAGTGCCATTTGGGGCTTAGCAGCGCAGTTCCCTATGGGCTATGCTAACAGAGTTCTCTTAGACAAAGGAATGCAGTAATGATTTGTCAACAGATATATGTTTTTCTTACTGCTATTGTTGTTAGATGCTGTCACGTTGAGTAGAGTGCAATTACAAATGACCCTGTGAATAACCAGTTTGAATCCTGCCCTACCCTGTGCCACCCTCACCGTCTCTCATACACTTGAGCCCATTGTTGCCGTCACTGTGTCAATCCATCTCCTTGGGGATCTTCCTCTCTTTCACCTACCCTCAATCTTTCCAAATATGATGTCCCTTCCCAAAAAATTTCCTCTCCTAGCAACATGTCTAAAATATTAGAGTTGAAAACCGGCCATTTTTGCTTCCAGTTAACACTCTGGCTTCACCTTTTCCAAGACATTGTTTGTTATTTTAGCAGTCCGTGGGATATTCAGTACTCTTCTCCAGCACCACATCTCAAAGGTATCAATCCTTCTATCATCCTTATTCATTGTCCAATTCTCGTATGCGTAGCAACAGATTGAAAAGACCATGGCCTGAATCAGGTGCACCTTAGTCTTCAAACTCACATTGTTGCTTTTCTGTGTTTTGAAGAGGTCTCTGACAGAAGCCTTGCCCAAAGCAACACTTCTCTTTTTCTCCTGACTGCCGGTACTAAAGGTGTTGGAATTATTAATTGTTGAGATTTTAAAATAATATATCCTTTATTTAATTTTAGTCAGTAATTTTAAGCCATAATCCAATCTTGAAATGCATATCTTGTTGTTAAATGTTATTGTGTGTTCTTTGACTCATAGTAACCCTGTGTACACCACAGAAAACCATTACTCCTTCCTGCACCATCCTCACAGTTGTTGTTATGCTTAAACCCATTGTTGCTGCCACTCTGTCAATCTCTCCCATTAACTGTCTTCTTAATTTTCATTGACCCTTTACTTAGCTAGCATGTCTTTCTCTAGGGATTGGCCCTTTCTGATGATATGCTCAGGTCTATGGCATGATTCTCACTGTCCTTGCCTCTAAAAAACATTCTATCCAGAAGCAGAGGAATGTGGATGTGCAGGGGGAAGGGGGAGGAATCATTGGGTTATACAATTGGGGGGGGGTGAGGAAAATTGAAAGAATTTGTTTGAATTTGTATTATAATTTTGTAAATAAACTAGTAGAAAATTTTTTAAAAATGAACATTCTATCCGTACATACCCCAAGGCAGATTTGTTTGCTTTTTAGCAATCCATGATATATTCGGTGCCCTTTATCAACACCATGATTCTTCTCCAGACCCTCTTATTCATTGTCCAACTTTCATTTGCAAATGAAGCAATAAAAACCCTACATAGGGTCAGACTTACTTTAGTCTTTAAATTGACATCTTGAGCACTTGAAAGACTTCATGTGCAGATTTCTCTCCTCTTGCTTCCATGCACATAAATTGTGGATCCAAGGGGAAAAAAAAATATTTGACAAGTTCAGACTTTTCTCTGTTCATAATGGCACTGTTTACTCGTAAAATTGTAAAGATTTGTATTTCCTTGGTGTTGATGTATAATCTATACTGACAGCAAATCATCCTCGGGCTTCAACACTAAGTGTTGAAGTCTTCTTTTTTATGAACAGCAGTCTTATCATCTAAAATGTGGTAAATAGAAAGCTGATAAATAGAAATGAAATTATAACTAGTATGATAAAGAAAAAGCTTGTCTGCTGATACTCATCAGAAATTATACAAATATCCTCAATCTACTCTGAGGAACTCACCAAAAATAAATGGAAATCTTAATCATGATTTAAGGTAGTGTCTGCTGTGTTTGTTGTTATTCAATGCTGTCAACTTGAGTACGACTCTAAGTGACCCTATGAACAATAGATCTGAACCCTGTCCTATCCTGTACCACCGTCCCAATCTCCGACACACTTGAACCCATTACCACAGTCATTGTATCAGTCTACCTGGTTAAGAGTCTTTCTTTCTTTCATCATCTAGATCAGATGAAATTACTTGTATCTCATTGTTGTTGTTTTTAAATGAGAATAACTTCTCAAGTGAAATGCGCAAAAGAGACTTTGAGTCAAATTGATCACATTCTGTGATAATTTCTTCATCTATATTTCCAAAACTGTAACAAGATAAAAAAGGATAAAACTTCTTCAGCTACATAGAGACTGTTGATTCTGCCAGTTCTTTTTATTGTCTTGTCCATAAACGTATCTTGTTTAAAGTAACTTCATTAAATTATCAACTGAATTCTTTTGTAAACTCTCCTTAATTTCTTTACTCATAAACCCTTTTTTGCCCACCCTTTAGATGAGAGAAATAGAAAGACCTTGCTTGAGTCAGTATGCTAAGAAGGTCCCCTTGCACCTAGGGAGGGCTCAGACAGGTCTTTGAAAGAACGACTGTTGCATATATGGTCACTTGAATTTGAGTCAACTCAACAGCACCTAACAACCATTGGATCTTACCTGACTTTTGTGTATTTCTTTTGCAAACTTGAGATTCTGCAACACCTTTACTTTACTATCAAGTTAAATGCCATTCCAAAAAAAGAGTTAAAGTTACTCTTTTCTTGGTCATTTTATTGTTTGTGCCAATGAATATCAGCAAGCAATACTGATTGTTAATGTGGTAGATAGTCTTTCATTGAGGAAACTAGTAAATAATTAAATGAAAAGATGATGAAACAATTCTTAAGCTCTTTAGAAAATAGCTGTGTTTTTGTTATTGTTGTTGTTGTGTTCAGTAGAGTTGGAACTGACTGTCGCTGAAGCTACCAGAGGGTTTTCAGAGGCATTTAAGTGCATGGAAGGAGATTGCCCATCTTTCTCTACAGAGTAGCTAGTGGATTTGAACTGTGTGCCTTCAGGATGCTGCACAGCTTTTTACCAGAGCCACAAGAGCTCCCATCATAAAAGAGTAGGGGAGGAAAAAGATTAAAAAGGTCTGCAAGTAGAGATAAAATTAAAATATATGCATTTATAATCAAAGTAATAAACTAAAAAGCTATTTCTTTAGAAGCAGAGGAAAAGAAAATAAGAAAAAGTTTTATTTTAAGAGGTTTCTTTTTAAAGTACACATAAATATGATTAGGAATGAGGACTGCTTTAAATTTACTAAGATTTTATAAAGACTACATTATAGAATGGATTCCTAAGGAGTCCTAGTTCTTCTATAATTCATAAATAAATGTAGGAACTTTGTGAAATACAAAAGCAAGATAAATCTTAAAAAGTAAAACAATTCAACTCAATAAAGCATCTAAGATATAAAATTAATAAACAAAGCAAATTACTCTTCTATGTAACATTCATATCTTGTTAGAAAATATAATGGAAAATTTTCCATTAATAAAGAAAAATTAAGAACTTTCTAATAAATATATCAAAGTATAGAAGATACAAACACAAATAAAATTGATGAAAGTTATTTTGACAAGTTTAAAGGGAGTCTTATTTTATTTTATTAAATAAATTAAAATGTTCCCTATGTCTTTGGAATCATTAGCATAATTTATACTATGCTAGGGAGCTCTGGGGGCTTAGTGGTAAGGAATTGCAGTGCCAACTCGAAGGCAGGTGGTTCAAATCCACTGATTGCTTTGAGGGAGAAAGATGGACAGTCTCTTCCTGCCCAGCTTACCACCTCAGAAAACCCACTGGATGATCGACAATGAATTGGTTCCAACTTGACAGCAATGAATGGTTTGTTGTTTTTTGTATGATATAGAATAATTAGGTCATAATGTAAAGTGATAAAGTGCATGTATAGACAATGCTAGAAAAGAAGTATACCCAAATGTGAGCCTTCAGACTATTACTGAGTAGCTGTAATTTTTCACTTTTTATACTTTCATGTCTTCCTTTTATATGTCTTCCTAAAATATATGAATACTCTTGTAATGGGTAAAAGATGTATATTCATTTATTTAGCAATTTAGATAAAACTGTGAGTTGCTTTGGCTTCTCTGTGCGGTTTATGGCTTTATGCAGAAAGAGAGAAGTTGTAGTTTTTGTATTCATTTTAATTCTTACTGTTCATTTGTTTTTTCATTTCCTTAGAAAGATGTGCGGGATATCCTCACTCCAATTCAAATAGAAGCTGCTTACCATCTTGGGCATCATGTCCTTAGTAAAAGAAGTACAGAGGAATTCCCTCCCCTACAGCCAATTCTGCAACAGAAGAAAGAAAAAGACATGATTAAAAAAACGGTTGGAGTATTTTCCTTTATTCAAACCATTACTTCATATGCAGCTCATGACCATTTTTAATATGATAGCATCAATCTGAAGAAGTGAACTTTTTCTCTAAATTCTTTATTTTAAATGTTTTAATGAATTCTTTTCTTGTAAAAATAGATTTATGGTATGTCTTGTTTTCTATTTTTTATTTCCTTTAGGATAGTGAATGTTTTTAAATATATTTAATCATAGCAGTAGTTTCCAGTATATATAAAGTATTAATTTTCTTTCCTCGATGCCTTGCAAGTGAAGACAATTTATTGCTAGAGAGAAAACCTAACGGAAGTAAGTTGCATTGATGACTTAGCTATTTGGTATCATTACGTGCAATCTTTCTCATTGTCTGTCTCCTCTCAGCTTCTCTTTCTCTAACTCACCTAAGATTCACTCAGCCCTTTTCATTCACCTTGTTGGTTGTCTCTCAATTATAAACATACAGATATATAATATATAGTAATTTTTGTTATTTAAACATTTTTGTGTGCTTTTATCATTCACGTGTTTTATATTATTATTCCTGTACAATTGTGTCTTATACAATTAATCACCTTATCTATGCCCAAATTTTTGTTCATGTATAATTTTCCTTTCATTCTTTATATGCTATTCAATCTCATCACAGCCTCAAATGCCTTTTGAGATAGATCCTACTTTTAACAAGTAAGCTCCTATTACTGATTCCACAATTGTTTCTATTTCACTGATAGTTGTTTTTATTCCTAGACTATTGTTACAA